TTAACTGATTTGGGTCAAACCAGTTTATGCAGCTTCTGTTCCAGACCCTTTCCTGGTTTAAGTTAAATCAGAGTCCCCCAGCATCTTGACATGCTTCTCTGCTTTAACAGAGCAGGGCTGGCCACACCCCCAGCTGCCAGCAGGGACTTTCCCATCCCCAGCAGTCAGAAATGGGGCAGATTCCCCTGCCTCACCCCCTCTTCTGCAGCAGGCAAGTAAAGCCCACACTGCTGGTTTCCTCCCTCTGCCAGCATGAGTGCATGTTTCTCCCCCTCCCACCACTCCCTCCTTAGCTGCCCCATACCTGCTGGGCTGTGGACCGCACTCACCAGGGAGCACCACACTGCTGGACGGTCTGGGTCAGGGGAACTGCAGCCTGGGATGTGAGCCCCCTCCCTCCTCCAGTGTCAGCCCTGCTGCATGCCTACCACAGCTTGGTGAGTGGGGCAGGCCAGCAGCTGCAGAGGCTGTGCTAGGCTGGGCTGATGGGCAGTGGGGGCTGGCTCTGGCCATGCTGGGAGGAGGACTTGTCTGACAACCACAGGGAGCTCAGGGCAGTCCCGCCTCCCCAGAAGGGGCAGGGATGAGGTGCTGGACTGCAACTCTGTTCAGGAGGTACTGGGCAGCCCCGGTGATCTGACCTCCCAAGGGTGACTCCAGCAAAGTGGTGGCACTAGGGGCCATGCTTGCTCCACCAGTCCTGGGATGCAGCAGTGGTCTGCAGTAGGTGTGGAAAAGGGAGGGGGAGGAGGCTTCTGTTTTTCCTCCCCACTCCCTTCTCAGCTGGCCTAGTGGCCAGGGAGAACATGTCACAGGGTGATCCTCCTGGCTCCCAGCTGCAGGGAAGCCCGCAGTCCCCACCTGAACTGGGAGGCAGGATGATCACCTGGCCATGCCCCCTCCCTGGCTGGTAGGCCAGCTGAGGAAGGAGTGTGTGGGGGAGGGAGGGAATGACCCTGCTGAGGGCTTTCCCCTGCCTGTGCTGGGCACAGCCTAGCTGGGGTCCAAAGCCAGACTGTGGAGGGGAGGGCATTTCCCTCCCACTTTCTCCTCAGCTGGCCTCCTTGCCGAGCAGGTTGCATGGCCGGGTGATTGGCTTGGCTCAGGTAGGAGAGTAAAGCCCCCAATGCAGGCTTCTCTGCAGCTCCCTGATCAGCTGGAAGGACAACTGAGAAGGTAGTGTGGATGGAGGAAACAGCCCCTCCACCCAGTTTTGGACCCCAGCCAGGTTGCACCTGGCACAGGGGGTGGGAAGCCCTCAGTGGGGGGCCATTTCCTCCCCAACTCTCTCCTAAGTCGGCTGCCAGCTGAGCAGGGCGTGCAGCTGGGTGATCAGCCTGGTTCCCGGCTACATGGAAGCCTGTAGTGGAGGCCTTACCCCCCTGCCTGAGCCAGGAGCTGGGGGTGATCACTTGGCCATGCCCCCTCCACGGCTGGCAGGTCAGCTGAGAAGGGAGGGGAGGGGAGAAATGGCTCCCATTGAGGGCTTCCTACCCCCTGTACCAGGCACAGCCTGCGACACAGCCAAGATGGTGGGGGGTGCTGTTCACCCCTCCACTCCCTTCTCAGCTGGCCCGCTGGCCAAGTAGGGGGCATGGCTGGGTGATTGACTCAGCTGCCAGCTCAGGCAGGAGAGTAAAACTCCCACCACAGGCTTCCTTGCAGCCAGGAGCCAGGCCAATCACTTGGCTATGCCCCCTGCTTGGCTGGCAGCTGGCTGAGGAAGGAGTCAGGGGAGGAAACGGGGAAATGGCCCCTGCTGAGGGCTTTCTACTCCCTGTGCCGGGCACAGCCTGGCTGGAATCCAAAGCTGGGTTGGGCGGGGGGCATTTTCCCTCAGCTGGCCCGCCAGCTAAGCAGGGGGCATGACCGGGTGATCAGCCTGGCTCCTGGCTGTAGGGGAACCTATGGTGGGGGCTTTACTCCCCTGCCTGAGCTGGGCCAATCACTGGCCATGCCCCCTGCTCCACTGGCAGACCAGCTGAGGAGGACATAGGGGGAAAGTGCCCCCCAGCCAGACTCTGCCCAGCACAGGGGTAGGAAGCCCTCAGTGGGGGCTGTTTCCCCGCCACCCCGACTCTCTCCTCAGCTGGGGGTGGGGGCTGCACTGTGGGCAGGAGTGGGGTGATAAGAGCTGCCACAGACTGTGCAAGGTGAGCAGCGGCACTGGGACTCAGAGGGGTGGCCATAGCCCCGCAATGCTCCCCAGTGCACCACTGCCACTTGCTCAGCATAGTCTGCTCTGCCCGCTCTGCTCCCACCCGCAGCACAGCTCCCATTCTAGGAAGAGGCTTGCACTCCCTGGGAAACCATAAGAGGGGCTGCTCCCCCCTTGTTGCTCCAATGGCAGGGGCGGGAGTGTAGCCAGCGGCTAGCCGTCATGGCTCCCTTAGGCAGTGGGGCAGGGAGGGGGGTTATTTTCCCCCTCCCTCCAGCATCTGTCAGAGGGGGCAGGGAGGGAGCTTATCCCACTGCTTGTCCCGGTCAGGGAGCAATCACTGTCGGCAGTCAGGGCTGGCAGACCCCAGCTGCAGTCCCCCAGGGGCAGAGGAAGTGGAGGGGGAATAAACCCCATCCCTGCTCCCTCTGCCTCAGGGGCCATGTCAGCTGGTGCCTGGTTGCGTGCCGCCCCTGCTGCTGCAGCAGTGAGTGGGGAGTGCCAAGTGGACCCTGGCTTGGGTCTGTTCCTGTGGGACAGCGAGGAGGGAATTAAACCCCCTCTCTAGCTAGTTTGCTTGAGGCTACTGCTGGGGCCTGGCCACGCCCCACCAGGACAGCTTCCCTGCAGCCGAAGGCACCTCTAGCACCCCCGGCTTTTGGCCTGAGCCACTGCAGATATGTCTATTCACTTGCAAATTGGTTCAATTTAGGCAGGTTAGACTAACCTGCAAAGATTTAATCAATTC